TGCCTGAAGGGATCTTGGCCTTTGAAAGCTCTTCCTGCCTTTGAAAATACCCTGAACACTTTTATTCCTGATGTCTTAGGGATGCCTATTTATTCTCTCCATTTGTCTTTATGGCTGAGAATTGCAGTGTACAGGAAACCACAAATGGCCTATAGGAACTCAAGCTCTCTTCAGTGCCTGTTTTTGGAGGTTGTGATAATGTATGAAGGTTGTGTAATGTATGAAGGCTGTGGAAAAGGGGTATTTTATCCAATAACTCTTTTCTGAAAATATGAGAAAAACCAGGGGAAGGCCCTATGTGTCTAGCTGGAAAAAAGACCCACCCACCCAACCAACCAACCAACCAACCAGCCAACAAACCCCCTTTCAATCACTTAATGAAATGTTTCCAGAGGGTGATGTAATAGGAAGCAATCCTACAAGTCTGTCTGCTTCCAAGGTAAAGCAAGTGAAATCAGCAGTAGTGACAGCAAGGACAGCCATGCAACACTGGTGGCTGAAGACCCTGCTCCCCGAAGTGTCAGTGGAGGCTGCAGCATGACAGTGTGGGAGCAGAGATTATTGCTGACCTTCCCCAGACTTGCTCACTGGAGCCTGCTTACTCCCTATATACCACTGATGTTTACACATCCTGTAGATGTGTCTACACATCAAGAGTTAACACATTAAAAATAACGTGCTGTATGTAGAAACTCAGCAGGCTTTCTTTTATAGCAGATGAGGCACGTAACTGTGAAGTGTCTTCCATACAACCTTTATTCCAATAGGACCATTAGGAGCTGAAAATACCATGAATATCAGGTGAGAAAGATAAGGCTGAAAAATTAAGCTAAGACAGATAATTTGGCCCCCAAAGCTTCTATATGCTAAGAACGTTGCATTTCTACTTGTACCAGAGTTGATGGCAAATTTCCTATTGGTTTCAATGGAATGAAAACCAGCCCCTATTTCCATACAACTCTGTAAACTTTGAGCTGGAAAAATACAAAGCTCATTTGAAGAAAATTGCAAAAAACAATGCCCTCAGAAGATCTGTCAGTCTTTTAAGAGCTGTTTTGTTTTGTCAAAGGCAAATAAACCTGCTTGGGGAAATATGGACAGGTGATTTGTATAGCAATTTCTTCAGTTTTCTTTTCATTATTTCTACTTACAGACTCTTAACCAAAGTCAGACAGTAGAAACATCAGGTTATGCAGTTTGTTTGCATAGATTGCTTGTTATTTTACATGTACAGCTGTCGGGTGTCAGAAGTGAGTGGTTATGGCTAATTCAAGGTATCTCCTGAAGTTGAGTGCTTTCTTTTTAGGGGAGTGTAATTATCTAGCCCTGGAAATGATGTTAGGGTGCTGACGTTGGGAAGTATAGCAGAATACACCTAATAGAATCTGTCTTTATAAGAACTTTGACTTGGCTGGTGTGATAGAAGTGTTAAGACTAGCAGTGCACAGTAGCTCCTTGCATAGTAATGGGAGAAAGTCTGCCTCAGGCCTAGCTTGTGAAGCTGGTATATTAATTTTGACTTCTTTTTTTTTACCATGGCCGTAGGCACATTCATGTATTACTGTGAGCTAAATGAAGGTGTAGGCAGAGAGATTATCTACTCTACATATATAAAACTACTTACCTTTTAAGTCAGATGTATCATTTCCATAGTGTAAATTAAGGGAATTTTCTTTGCTGTAACTTGCTTGTTGAACTACATTTTAGTGCAAAGGAAGACTGGAAGAGGTCAAAAGGTCGGGAAGATGTGCTTGTACCCTGTCAAGATGGTCAGCATTGACCTAGACTATTCTACTGCTGTCATTGCACAACCTCCAGAAAATGCAAGTACTGTCATTACTTGTAATTTAAAGAATTTGAAGCATGTACATTTATTTTTAATCTCCTCTCCCTTTCAACAGTAGGATATCAAATTTACAGTATTTAACTATATTTACACACATTTAACTGTATTTCTCATTTAACTCCGTCTCTCATTAGCATCCTTCCCTTTGACATGACTGCTATCAGGATCAGAGGAGGTTCCTTGGACCTTGAATGGAGGAGGAGGATGAAACTGAACTGCTTTTGTGTCTGTGAGGTCTCTGGATTTTCTGGAAGGAGCATGGCATCCTGCTGAATCATATTCCTCATCCTCACCCTGAAAGACTGCCATCTCTTTACTGCAGGAAGAGTTTTGTCAGTCCACCTGAGAGGGCATCTCTGGCTGACCTGCATACCTCAGGAGGACATGTGCTTTCCCCCAGGGGCATTGCTTGGTACTTCAGCTTTGGCTGGAGTGCCCCATCCAAGTGTTGCTGACTTCTAATGTCAGTCAATTCTGCTGAAAGACATCTAGTGCCTTTGAGAGGTAGACTGCCTGGGAGTCCAAGGGACAACTAAGTCTTCTCAGTATTTTAAAGGTGTTTTGCTATTAGGCATTTCAAACTCTATGTTTCCCCCAAAAGGTTTTCACAGATTTCAGGTCCATCTGCCCTATGCTTTTCTCTTTACCTGTCTACAGTTTCGATTCTTTGGTGTGACAAAACTAACACAGTAATGACTTTTCCACATCAGGAAAAATCCAAGGGCCCCCTGAAAATTCTGCCATCATACCAAGAAAATGATGCTGCAGTGTCATGCCAGGTGCATACTGCTGGGACTCAGAGTGTTACTCCCTTTGAGAGTCACTTATGTGTTTACTCCCTTTGAGAGTCACTTATGTCAATCCTTAACATAGGCAGATGAGACCAAAGTAAAGTCGCTGAAGTAGATCTCAGGATCTCTACAGCCTTTCAAACCAGTTTAAGTAGACTATGTGGGGTGGTTGATTTTCTTGGGGGGAGGGGGGGCAGGCAAAACTTTGAACTTCTATGAGGAAGTCAATATTTGCATTGTTGCTGGCACAGAAACTCTAAAGATTAATAAAAACGAGTACATTAGTTCTTGGACAGTACTTTGGGGATGAGGGGTTTGGCTCACCGCTGTCCAAGCTTGTATGCCTGCCCAGTACATATACAGTTCATACCAGGGGAAGACAAGAGATTACTGAAGCCATGGTCTGTTGGGACTCTGGCATGCAGAAGAAAAGTTGACGTGTGTAGTCCAGTTTCTGTAACTACTCTAGAAATTTCTTCCAGGAGTGGAATTTAGAGACTGTCTAGTGTGGAGGAGATGTCTTTCTTCCTATTTGGTAAGCAGGGCCACCACTACCTTGTGCCACTATGGACTGTCTCTGAGCACAGCCTGACAAATTGCTAGTCATGCACCTTTCATGAAGATTAGGAGGATAAATAAAACATATCCCATTAATGCCTTTGCCAGACTCCAGCATGTCTTTATTCAGTCAGAAGTCATTAAGACAAAAAGCCCTCCACAAACTTAGCGGTTTGCCATCCATCATCCATCCTTCAGCATGTGCAGTTCATTCCAGCTGCCCTTCACCTGATGTGAGGGCTGGGTTACTCTCCCTTAGTGTTCTCTCCTACTCTCAAACCTGAGCATTTGTGAGCACATGAAATTGGATTGGCAGGTGCAGACACAACTCCTTCAGTCCCAAAGGTAAGCCTGAGAGTTGCAGATCATGGAAGGATCGAGTCTGAGTCACTGGTTAACTTGCTGCTTCTGCTAACAATGGTGACTATGATGATGATATAGTGCACAGATTCTGGGAACACTTTTAATGATCAGTGGACATCAGGCTCTCATTATCTTATAGACTAACAGTGCTAACAGCAGGTGATTACACCATAACCTTTACTTTGCAAAGCAACAGCCTATATCTTACAGAGCAGTTGCTTGAATGTGAATTAGGGAATGGAAGAAGATGGAAGAGTTGAATCCTAACCAGCTGATGTGTAATTCAGGCTGGATGTGAGGAAGAAAATTTTTACAGTAAGGGTGATAAAATACTGACACAGGTTGCCCAGAGAGGTGGTGGATGTGCCACCCCTGGGGACATTCAGGGCCAGGCTGGATGTGGTTCTGAGCAACCTGATCTAGTTGAAGATGCCCCGGCCCATGGCAGGGGGGTTGGACTAGATGCGCTTTGAGGGTCTCATCCAACCCAAACTATCCTATGATTCTAAAAGCACCTTGATTTCAGAGAGACCTCTGCAGTCCACAGCTTTACTTCACCTGTATGGTATCCTAATAGAAGAAAATCTCATTTGTGTTTTCTCCTCTGTGGTCCCTGAGAACTGATTTTTGCTTAGATTTGCTAGATCCTAGTTCTAATTGAAAGTAAATGCATTACGAAACCAGGGCAAGAAGGGGATCCATCTCCTATTTCCTTACCATTTTCCCAGATGCGGTGTGGATCTCAGTTACACTGGTTTTATTTGGCTACATGTATCACTAGGACCACAGGAAACCCTGTCAGGGTGGTCTGGGCCATGTGCTGTGGGGGCGGAGCTGGGAGCTGCTGGGTGTATCCAACCACAGACAGAAGGGAAAGACACAGCCCTCCGTCCACTAGCGCTTCATACTGCCTGAGGCTGCAGCTTTTGCCAAAGCTGGTACATGCAATACCCAAGCAAATCAAGTTTGGGAACCTAGCTCAACCAGCCGCAAGGTCTTGTGGAGGCAGGAGTGTTTCATAGGAGCCAGAAATGTTTCTTTCATAGCAAGGGGGCCTCCATTTGTACAGAAGTGGCCTGTGAGCAGAGCAGCTTCAGCTAGGACTGTACGTGTCCTCACTGTGCAAGGTCAACATCAAACATGGTCTCTGAGCAGCCCTGAGATGGATGCAGAGCTGCAGGTCCCTCTCTGCCCCAGCTACATTCTGGGTAGCACTGGCTTTCAGTGGGAAAAAGCAATGCCTCGATGCAGAGCACCTCTGCTGCCACCAGGTCATTGCAAGAGCAGAAGCAGCCCTCTGCCCTCCTCTGTGAAGTGCTGTGAAAGCCATTAGTATATCTGCTCTGAAATGGACTCATTAAAATACACATTCACCCTTGCTACTCTGGAGCTGCATGCCTGACTCATCCCACTGCAGTTGCTCTGAAATGGGAACCCAAGTTAAAAATTTCCCAATTTGTTTTTTTATTTACCGTGGATGCTCATATCTAACACACTGAGAGGGCAATGGAAGCCATAACATCTGTCTTCATGGAAGGTGAATGAAAGGAAACCTGAGAAAAGGGAGAGGAAACAAATGAGACACCAGCTGATTAAAAGACTGTTATTTCATGTTGCCTTCCACAGTTTGACACAGGATGCTTTCTTGCATCCATGTACTTAGCGTTAGTGTAACCCAGCTGGGGCATGGCATCCCCAGCCCAGGTGTGCATATGTTATTTCTACCTTGCTTCCTCTTTTTCCATATAACCACAGAAAACTGCTAAGCAGCTGTGGCTTGGCAGGCATGGTCTAACAGCAGGCTTTGGCTGGAATCCCTGCTCACACTCCTGATCACACTAAACCTCTTCTCCTCAGTGGCAGACAGAGGCTTGCACTCAAAGCTTTTCTTGCCAGCATCGTTCCTGGACACAGATCCCTCCTAGATGGCACATGGATGGATGTGGTGCACCCAGGGCTTGCAGACTTCTCTGATGGGCCAGGGGATGCTCTGGTCTACACTGATTTCCTCTCCCCAGCTGTTGGAGAGCAGAGTGCCCGTGGGGACCTCCAGCTCCTTCACACCCAGACAGTGCTTAAAACCACATGCATTCCCAGCCTCTCCCTGCCAAAATGGAAATCTCATGGCCTAAGACCACCTCATCCAAGCTGGTAACTTTCTCGTTTGCTTTTATACACAGACGTGATAGCACCAGACATTGCTTTTAGCTGCAAGAAAATGTCTTCCTCTTACTGTTATGTTCTTAAAGACTGCCTTCCCAGGCTAAACATCCTTTGCTTTAAATAGATGGGATGACCCATATGCTATTGTGAATGATTATTCAAGGGTGAAGTACAGACTCTATTCCAATGATTTTTAAAAGACAACCTAAATCAATAAGATCTTTCTTGTTAGTTTCTAGATATATATCTAGATATATATGCTACATCATCCCTATTTCTTTCATCATTTGGCTCACTTCTGCTATATTGGTTCGTGCGGTACATTACCAAGCATCTGAAGCATTTGCTCTTTTGTCCTCTAGACTGCACTGATTTCTTCTGGAACAAAGTGTAGCTTAGAAATTGTCCGCTGTGGATTTTTGTAATGAATATTCCACAGTAAGCCACTTGTTACTAATGAGCCTAATTTTACTTGTACAACTCTTTTTATAACCTTTATTCTTACAAAATAATTGGGAAAATTGACAATGATAATTGAAGTGTTTATTAACTGATGGTCTACTTGCAAGATTAAACTGAACATGGCATTGCAATTCAGACCATTTTTCAGCTTTGTACAGGAAAAAAAATGCTGCAAGCATGGAATCCAGTATTTTCCACAGCACACCTCTTAATATTCTTTTTTATTGCAGACTGTCTACTATAGTATAGCAATGTTTTCAACAGGAATATATTAAAAGCCTAAAATCTAAATCTAATTTAAAGTCTAAATGGTGCACATGATTAAAAATACGTTATCTATTCCCAGCAAATCAATATCACTGAAACACTAATGTTTCCCTAATTTTAAGCACCATCTAGTGAGTCAAACATTAGATGTGATCTTCCAAATTAGAGCTGAGAAATATAAGATCATGGCTTGACTGCATCCCACCTAGTGCTCTGTCTCTTCCTAAGATTTGTACCTTAGCTGTTTAGTCACTGTCTGATCTCTTGCTAATGGACATTAACTATTCCTCCAAAGGTGCCAAAGACCTGAGATGCTGCCTGGAGATAATTTGTCTGTCAACAAAGGAGGGTGCTGGCTGAGTAGGCTCCTTAGTTAGACACAGCTAAACACCTAAAAGCAGAGCAGGGAGAAACCTCATTTTGCTAATGATAACCTTTGTTTTGTCACTCCAGAGAAAGGGACTGGAGAGGAGGTGGCTTTTATCCAATTACCAATGAAAGGGAAAAATTCTCTGGGCAAATAAACAGCTTTATAAAGATCATAATTCTTACTATTTCTATTAGCTGGCTTGCCACAAAAATGAAGTAGGTCTGAGAGGGAATTGCACAGCAAAACTGCATGCAATTATACAACCTGCTTATCCAGCACTGGTATTAAATCAGTTTAGTTAAATCAGTGCCAGCTGCTGTGGCATCACACTGGAATCAGTTGGCAACTGACCTGCGTAAACTATGCCCTATATACAGAATTCATTCGGAGAGCAAATGGTGCACAACCAGCTCGGTGAGCATGGTGTCACTGGGCACAGACATGGGTGTTCAGACTGTGCCTTATTTGGCCTCGTTAAGTTTCAGTGCTTGCAGATGATGCTGTGATGGTACTTTATACATACCAGAAAGATTGGTGGGAGCCTGGGCAGTGCCTGGCCTGGCCTTGCTGAGAGTCTTGGAATGCATCCCTTGACTGGGGAAGTGTGTTTTGGCTGCTGCTGGCAATACCCACTGTCGCCCATGCCAGATCTCTGACCCCTTTATAGTACATCTGTATCCAGGGAAAGTAGGATTTAATTATGTGTCCTCAGTCCCAGCTTCTGTGGCTTACCAGGCATACACAAGGCACTTTACCAGTGCTGGGGGGCTGTTGGCCATGGCTCAACAGCAGAAGAACAGTCCAGTTTCTGTGCATTTGGTGGGCATCATGTGCAAGGGTTTCTCCCAGTGGTGGGTTCCCAGATGCCTGTCCAGCCAGTGTCTTACCTCTGCTGCGCTCTGAGGTGGGGATCTACATCTGCCTGGGAGTCCACACAGTGAGGGAGGCTGAGGACTTGACCAGGGCTACAGACAGGTCTCTGCTGTTGCATTATTGGATTTCCACCAGTCCTCTTCAATCATCAGTTCCTGGCTGTGTCACCTCCCAGCCCTCGCCACAGGGCAATCGTGGGTGCAAAGGTGAAGGGCTGATGGAGGACAAGGACTGTTGCCTAAAAAGACATGATGCTAGGACTTGCTTATGCCAGAACTGCTGCAGAAACTCTCCTCAAACTTAGTCCTGTGCTGAAGGCACAGCCTGTGTGCTCCTGTGCACACTCACTGCTCAGCCTCCTGGTGAAAGTGTGAAGGCACAGTACTGGCTTGCTGTTGTGAAACCATGGAGGTTTATCTGCACCTCTAGTTATTGTAATCTGGTACCTTATGGGGTTAAACTGGAGAAAACAGTATCTTTAAGAGTGGGAGAATAGTGGGAGCTTTAAGGCCTGGTACCTCATCACCAACACACATCACTGCTAAGTGGTGACAGACATACCTGTGTCTGTTTTGCTCAAAGCAGGAAAAGCATCAAACCAGAAGCTTGGACTCAACTGCGCAGCTTTGCTAACAGTATCTGAAATACTTTAGAGTTGTCCCAACTTGGACATATGCAAAGCCACTGGAAAAGAGAAACAAGACATTCTTTTTCTACTTCATCCCCACTGCCCATACATGTCATTTTGCTAGCAAGGGGGAAGATTTTTTAACAAGATCCTGATTCATAGTTTATAATGTTATGACCAAAAGTGGATTCAAGCAGTAAATCAATTTTTAGAGCTATTCAGCAATAAAAAGCAATGTTTTTTGAGTCCTTCACAAACAGAACAGAGGTATCAGTCTGCTTAGCAAGCCAGTTTAAGCTCATTAGAAGAGTCACACAGCATGCATGTTGCACATCAGTACCCAGTCAGCTCCCAGACAGTACTTGATTACAGGGGTAAGCCAGAATTTCTTGACATCATATGAATAAACATAAGCAAATGCAGTAAAAAGTCTTTACCTTGGGCTTGAGCAAAAGGTGACATTTTTGAGTTCTGCAGGATCGTCCTCTGCACCCAAGTCTGCGGGGTCATTGTCCAGTGTTTATCAACACTGTCAAGGTCTGCAGCTCCTGAGTGTGTGTGACTTGGAAAGAAAGGTGTCAGGAGGAGATTCCTGAACAGCTCCACCCGGAGTTACACAGAGAAAAATACAGAAAAACAAAAGCAAGCTTTAAGAGGTCAAAATGCATAGCCTGTCCAAAGCTACCATTCCTGGTAGAAATAAGACCCTGAAGGGCCTGGGTGAAAATCAGGGATAATCCCTGTACACATGTTTCTAATGAGCCATACTGAAAATGAGGAAGCTGAGAGAGTCAGCTCCTGCTTGTCCCTGGGGGTTCCGGATTTATTCCCAGCTGGTAACCGAGAGCACAATTATGCAAAGCCACCTCTATAAACAGGGTCTGGTTTATTATGGCTGAACTGGGAGAGCCTATTTTTGTCACTGCTTTGTGTGAATGTGTTACCCTTGTGATTTCCAGCCAGGTCATTCCAAGTCAGCTGCTCTGGCCGTGGCTGTTGGTGGAAGCTCATCTGTCCACCCAGTCCCTGGCCCCTCTGCTTGCCTGCCTGGGTTTGGCTCCCGGGCAAAGGGGACGAGGGGATGTGCCTGTGGCTATTCTGGTAGCTGTGAGTTATGGCGGTGTCATGTGAAGCAAAGAGCCCAGAAATGCATGTCAAATCAAACCAGTGACTAATCATGATATTTTGGTTGTCTTAGTGCCTGCCAGACAAAGATTTATGGGTTCAGAAAATCTTCACATAGTAATCCTTGGGTGCTGATTTGATCTTCAGCTCAGGCTTCCTAAGAGAGTGTGAAAAGAGGACGATAAGGGCACTGCTGTCCCAGGGGTGGAGAGGTCTAAACTCATTCGAGTTTGAAATACGGAGCCGCGAAAAGCTGGTGTTCCCTTCTTATCCGTGTCTGCTCAAGAGCCATGCACTGCGAGCCAGAGAGGATCTATTCAATGTGCCTGCAGAGCAAGAAGGGACGAGAGCGACGGCTAAGCAGACACAAACTATCATTTGTTGGGATTGTCATCTAGTTCCCTCATCTGTTACCTGATGGCCAGCCAAGCAAGTGCTCCGCACAACCGTGGACCCTTCATCCTTGCACAAGTGACAGAGGCAAGAAAAGTAAGGATCCTACAGCTGTTACAACATTCAGCTGTTTTCTGTATAATGGAATGCCTTGAATTCACTACCAATCTACTAACTGTCCCCCCTCTGCCAGGCAAGAGAGTGATCTATTTTTTTTTGTTGGGCTTTTCTCTAACAGCTGGAGGTCTGCTGGGCACTCAAGCAATGGCTAGTGAACAGGGCAGCTGTTTCAGTATCTAATTGCATTTTTACTTTAATAACTTCAGGGGAAAGCGCTGCATTGCCTACCATGAGTTACTTCCTGTCCTACTGTAAAGCGCACTGCACCACCGTACTCACGCAGTACCAGACCCTGAGATCAGAGGGCTTTCTGTGTGATATTTTGCTGAAAGTGAAGGAAAATGAATTTCCTGCACACAAGTCCTTGTTGGCATGTTCTAGCGACTATTTCCGAGCCATGTTCAAAAGTTACACCCAGGAGTCTAAGGCCAGTGTAATTCACCTACAAGTTGTCTCACCCACTGGTCTCCAGCACGTACTGGATTTCATTTACACTTCCTTGTTGCCCCTTTCCTTTGAAAGCCTGGAGGATACCTTGGAAGCTGCAAGCTACTTGCAAGTGACTGATGCTATTGGCTTGTGCAATCAATACTTAGTTAACAACCTTGCCTTGGAAAACTGCTGCTTCTCTGCCAACGTGGCCAGGAAGTTCTACTTGCCAGATGCCTTAGAAGCAACAGAAAAATACATTGTCAAAAATCTCTGGAAGCTGCTGGAGTTGGATTTTCCAGGACTGCTCGAGCTGAACTTCAGGTCTTTGCTAGGAGTGGTTCAATCCCCAGATCTCCCCATAGTGAAAGAAACCTGCTTGTTGAATCTTGTGCTGCTCTGGCTGAAGCAGGATAAATCCAGGCTGGTTCACACAAGCAGCCTTTTAGAGCACATAAGATACGGTCTCATCCCAGTGGAAGAGCTGAGAAAAACCTACAGTCAGTCAGAAGTACCCCTCTCAGCAAGTATTAAGTGCTTGATCATTAAAGCAATAAATTACCATACATCTGTTTACAAACAGCCTGTCCTGCAGGATAAGTCCACCACACTAAGGAATGAGAAAACTCACATCATTCTGCTGGGAGGAGGAACAGCAAGTGAGGGGCTTGTCACGGATGTGGTGGCCTTCGACGTTTACAACCACAAATGGCGAACTCTCACAAAGGTGCAGGACAGGGTGCAGAACCACAGTGTATGTGTGGTGGGGAACTTCCTCTATGTCCTGGGTGGGGAAATAGAAAATGGTGCTCCAGGTAACACTAAAACCGAAAAGAACCTATCGGTTACAAACAAGGTCTACCGTTATGACCCGAGATTTAACACGTGGACCCAAATCACAGGTATGCTGGAGAAGAGATGCCAGTTTTCTTGCTGTGTCCTAGACAAGGATATCTTTGCTATTGGTGGAAGGAGTGGGGATGGGTCACTGCATTCATCTGTGGAAGTCTACAACATCAGCAGGGACAGATGGACAAAGACCAGGGAATTGCCATGTAAGATGCATGGCCATGCCAGTGCCATTTGCAAGAACACTATATACATCTCTGGCGGCAAGTACTCAGATCCAGCCAGCACAAGCAAGGACGTATATTCTCTGAGTTCATTTGAAGGGCAGTGGGTGAAACAAGCCCCCATGAGCATTGCTCGATTTGGGCATCAGATGGCAACAATCAGAGAAGCCATATTCACCTTTTTAGGATTATATGAACCATTCTCTGAAATAGAAAGATACGATCCTGATCAAAACCAATGGACTCGGTTAAGACCACTGATCTATGATCGATTTTGCTACGGCCTGGCAGTGGTAGAGGAAACAGCTCTTCTTATCGGGGGAAAGAAATGGCAGAATTCACAGGAAGTCCCCACACAAGATGTGGTTGGTTACGACATTGACAACGATGGCTGGGAAGAGATCTGCAAAGCTCCCTCACCTTGGTGTGGGCTGCAGTGTGCGGTGCTGCAACTCTCTGAACTGGCCGATGAGCAGGAGACTGACAGCCAGCAGAAGAGGCGCCTGAACTGCTGAGCGCGCACACTGAGGGATAACCATCTCAGGAGACAAGTATCAGGGTGGTTTTGGGGAAGAAGAAGAAAATTGCAATGGCACTGAATGTGTCAGAGTCAAAGATTTTCTTCGATAAGCCAAACACCTGGTGGAAACATGCAAGGAAGTCTGGCTCCAGCATGGGAAAAGGTGCTGGAAATACAGAGTTGGAAGCTGATTTCATTAAGGAAGTATGTAGCAAGTGGCACATTTTGAGGCAATGTGCAAGAATCATAATCCTTGACTTTTGGACAATAATACCTAGATAGCAATTAATGAGTTTTTCAAGTCAGATATTTCAAAGGTTAAACAATATAATCCATCTTTTCTGTTTTCTTAATCAGAGGTAATTTTCCCAGCTGGTAAGTGCCATTGAATTCTTATACTATGGCTAAGCAAAATAAAAGTGAACTGTATAAAGACTAGAAAATTGATGCCTATGAGAGCTAATAACATATGCTGCCAAGGAAAAGATATTATTTGATATGCTACATACAAGGCAAGAACGTCTTAGCTAACCAGCATGAAATTACTGGACAGAAAGCATGGATTTTTTTGATATATGGACTCAAGTTATGGCCATAAGTTAAAACAGTGACTGTTTGACAGAAGCCATTTCTCCCTGAGCAGCTTTTGTTGCAGCACGCCCTTCAGATGCTTATTTTGTGTCATTTTAAAGACCAGTACAGCACATTTCTTTTGTACCAAAACCTTGTGTTTAGATGGCCAGAGGTGAGGTGGTATACTTATTATTAGCCTTGTTGCAGGAGTTGCTGTAACTAATCCCTTGAAACTTACCTCAGTAGCACATGCTGCTTTATCATACCTGCTCATAAGGGTAAAATGGATCATAGCTGTTGAACTGATATGTGCAAGAATCTTGCAGTCAAAAAAGGTTTACTTTCATTAAAGAGTATGAAGGGGAGAGAGGTTACTGAAAGTTGTCAGAAGTCTTTATTCAGTGTCTGCCTACATATGAAACAGCAAGCCTTACTTTTTGGACATGCTGGCCAAGTTTGAAGGCACAGATTATGGAGGTACTTTAAGCACTGTGTATCTGTGAAATGCAGGTAAAATGGCCAGATGCTGCAGAATCACTTTGGTATGGAGTAAATTGAATCCTGAGTCACAAATGTTCATTTAAAAGCTAAATTTATTGTACTTCATTTTACAGTGTTCCCTTTCTAGGCTGAGAGTTAATACAATAAAAATATATATAGAAGAACATTTAATAGTCTTAAAAGAAGGCAGCACAATGGAGAGGACACATGTTCTTTGTCACTAGACTAGCTTAAAAAACTGTAATGTTTAATTTTCACCTTTAAAGCAATCAAGCTGACTTTACTAATGTAAAGTGCAGGCAGAATAGCTGTTGCATAGCAACAGATCTAAGTCTTCTGAACTGCCTTGGTTTTGACAAGGAATCAACTACACAATGTGCATATACATCCATCAGATATAAAGAGGTTTTTTTATATGAATATATTTACTTTTGGTCCAGTAAAACAATAGCAAGAGAAACTAAATGCTTGGAACAATAGCACAATCCATTTCAAGTCAAGCATTTTTAAAGAGAAATTTACAAAAAACCTCACAAATTTAATATACAAGTCAGTACCCATGCAGTAAATAAATGTCCAGTTTATACAAACAATAGTCTTCTAATGGTACAAATATTACACTGGATCCAGAATTCTATACAAACATTAATACATGATTTGTCATCCATATCGACTTGAATATAGGATTACTGAAAATGGGCTACAGAAAGGCCACTCTTCTGTACAATTGTGCAAAATCTGCAAAACATTTAAAATCCAAATGCAATAAAGTAAAAAAAAAAAAAAAAAAAGAAAGAAAGAAAGAGGGAGAAAAAGAAAGAAAGGGGAGAATGAAGGAAAATGAGGCAGAGAAAGAGAGAGCAATAAAAAAAAATGAAAGAAGGAGAAAAAAGTTAAATCTATCCATTCTTTCCTTCAACCCTTCATGGATGCCAGGAAATATCAGAGTTCATAAACTTTAAAGTACATTCACTGAGCTGTACAGGCAATAGTCTAAAGTTGGTTAAGAGTACAACTCGCTGTAAAGAGTATAAAGGAGGCTTTTCCCTTTCACATGAGCATTATTAAATCATTGTGAGTCCTAATTTATGCAGCAAAATACTGAAAAGCAGCAGAAATATTTTGTCATGCTCTGATCGCTTTTCAAAAACAAGCCCATAAAAAATAAATATGTGATTTAAGATTTCCCTTCCCTCCCACTTTCCTATTCCAGGCCTGTGCCTGGCTCTAAGG